CAGGAGTTAAACTACAGCAGGAGTTAATCTACAGCAGAAGTTAAACTACAACAGGAGTTAAACTACAGCAGGCTCCTACAGTAGCACTTTACTTTACAATCAAAGCAACAACAACAACAGCAGCAGCAGCAACAACATGAAGTTTTTTTTTTTTATGTCCAGGTCTGTAAACTTTTTGGTGGCAGTGAAGTGAACGTCAAACTACAGCAGGAGTTAAACTACGACGGGAGTTAAACGCCAAACTCCAGGTGGATTACTGCAATACCACATCCATATATTACTTCAGAATACTTTAAATGACTGTTGCAGTTTTGTGTAAACGGCTAGAAAAAAAAACATATACTACCAGCAGTACAACAGCAGTACAACAGCAGTACAACAACAGTACAACAGCAGTACAACAGCAGTACAACACCGTGAACTCGGTACAATCAGACTAACAACCACAACCTGTGATTCAAATCTCCCAAAAGACTGTGACGGATCAAAACAACACTGTCCACATCCCTGCATGCGTGCCTTATGTTTGGCACAGTAGTTAGGTGATACAGCCGTTAGTGGGTAATGTTAAATTCAGACACCTGGACTGTCCAATGATCACCACGTCATAACGACAACTTGATGATGTCACCGCTCGTGTTTGTTAACGTTTTCTCAGTTCTGTCAGCAGTAACTAATCAGTACCGTTAGAAATGGTTCCAGAACTGATGTTGAGGAACATGTGGGGCTGACTTCAGTGAACGGCCGCCCCTGTTGACCAACTTTGTTGAAGCGGAGACAGATTTGTCCATTTCTTCCACACGGTCTATGTTAAATCCCAGTCCTTTTCAGGTCAAGTCTGAACAACAGAACCAACAGTGACACCTGCAGACTGACGGCTCCAACTCTGTCACTGTGAGTTAGCACTCTGACGTCACAGGCTGCAGGAAATGGAAGGACAAATAAATGGAGGCAACAAACATCACACACACACACACTCTGAAACACACACACACTCTGAAACACAGTTTAATTGTTTCCATGAGAGCTTGTTTTAAGTTTTTGTCCTGCGTGCAAATGTGTGTAGAAGTGTGTGTGTGTGAGAGAGTGAGAGGCACAGAGAGAGAGAGAGAGAGAGAGAGTGTGTGTGTGTGTAGGGAGTATTGTGTTGGATGTGTACACGCGCTCAGCCAAGGGAGGCGCGCACACTGTTATTGAGGGAAGAGCAGGTGCTGAATTACCATACAGCTGAGGGTGTGTGTGTGTGTGTGTGAGGGAGAGAGAGAGAGAGTCTGTACATCTCTCTACATCTCTCTTTTTCTTTCTCTCTCTAACACACTTACCCCCCTCCAAACACACACACACACACACACACACCCAGACATTCAGAGAAGTAAATGGTGAAGCTCTGCCAAGGAATGTTTTTTTTTTTCCTTTTTCTCTTTGACTGAATTCAAAGCATCAAATTCTTCCCACAACCACAAATAACCCGTCAACATTTCCAGTGTGTGTGTGTGTGTGTGTGAGAGAGAGAGAGAGAGAGAGAGAGTCAGTGCATAAGAAGAGAGAAAACAGAAAGGAAGAAGAAGAAGAAGAGGAGGAGGAGGAGGAAGAGGCAGGGGTGCAAACAATTAAGTGAGTCAGGGGTTGACCAAGAAACATTATTTTTCTTTCCCCTCTCTCTCTCTCTCTCTCTCTCGCTCTCTCTCTCTCTCTGTTCTAAGATTAGTTTTTAATGCAGTGACTTCACAGTTTCTGCTTCTTCACCTCCCAAAAAAACTTCAGATCGGTGCTAAAAAAACCCCAAAAAAAAACAAAACTTCTACTGTACAGGAGGCCAAATCAGAGATGAAGAACACGACACCTGGTGGTGTGTAGTTAGACTGGAGTGTACACAATTAGTGTTTGTAAACAGAAAGTTATTTTTGCACTACCGCCTACTCTCCTGCAGGGGGTGCTACAAACACGATTTCTTTTTTTTTAAAGTCCAGTTTGAGCTGCCGAGACAACAGGACAGTTTTATATTTACTCCCAAAAACACTGATTTACTTCATTTATTACATACTTTATTGAACTAACGTCAGGTTTAGGTTTAAGTTACGATTTATCGATGGTCCTCATCTGCACCAAGACGCTCGTTACGTCAAAGGCCGGGTTTACTTTTCATCGCCAAAGGAAAAAACATCAACAGAGGGCGGCGTCGATGAAGACCAACATCTCAAATCTACGCTCGTAGTAAACCATAAATATCTGCGTTACTTTTGTGTCGTTATCGTGTTTGTTCATTTAGTCATATATTACACTAAGTTTTACTAAATTTCTACCACAGTTAGATTGACTTTCTTATTTATTCCTGTTGTACCAGCAACAACGGAGAGTTTTATGAGTAGAAAATTCATAAATACTCAACTTTAAAACTTTGTTGTCGTAGCAGAAAGTAGTCGATTTTAAGCATTTTTAGTTCTGGAGCTGATGTCGTTTTAATTCTTTTTTTCTTTTTTTTAAAGTGGATAAGGACTTGTTTCGTGTTCCACTGGTAGAAGATCTGGAATTTGAGGCTTTTCTAAATGGTCACTGTATCTGGACTAAAAATCTAGATAAAAGTAGTTCTACTGAGCTGTGGCAGAAGTATTTGGTGGTTGAGCTCACAGCTATTATTACTGCTGCTGCTGCTGCTGCTGGGCCAGATTGGGAGGTGAAGTCGTGGAGGAGGGAGCAGGAGGTCCCATTTGCATGTTATTACCATAGCATGTGTCAGGCCGTATATAACGGGCGGCGGCGGCAGACGCTCAGCTCACAGTGAGGAGAGACGCCGGGGGAAGCAGAGGGAAGCATGTCGGACCAGTGACAAATCTGGCCTTGGGTTAGAACCAGGACCTGAACCACAAACAGAAAAGGAAAAAAAA